AAGTCCACTAAAAGTAAACCCTCGGATGAGCCTAACTTTACATCATCATGCTTTGCTTCAGGTGCTCATTTATTGTGTATAGAGAATTACAATTACAGGAAACAGGTGGTGACATTTTCTAAGGCCCTGTGGGGGAAACTTAGTGTATATCATCTGCCACCTCTCATACCAGGTGGTAATGAGTTGGACCATAGGCTTTGAACAATGGTGGAAGTGTGATAAGATCAGAACCACCTTTCAGCTTATACAGAGGTTAACTCCAATATAATACTTTAATTCTGGCTCCTGCCTTGTTCATTTATTCATTGGGTTCTTATCCGTGGGCTGAGACTCCACTGTGTACTTGGCCTAGAGTAATCAAGAGGCAGCCTTGGCTTCTGCCTTAACAAAGCTCATAATTTAGCCCAAACTGAACTTCAAAGGAGGCAAGCAAATCTCAATCCACTAGTTAGAAGGAAAGCGACATGTCTAATAATAAAGGCAGTATCATTCCCTTATGATGTTGTTCTTTTATAATGTTATTATAAGACATTATGATAACATTATTATAAAAGAATAATCAGAAAAAACACATATAATTCACCCATGAAGACCAAGTGTGCAATGGATGAACTCAGGCAGTAGTTTCACTGACCTTTGAAGTGGAGAAAGTAGGCTATTTTAGACCCTTGGAGGCCCTTAGATTTTGGACATTTGGAGGCTTCATTCACCCCAAATCATCCTCCCATGTTAAGTAGAATTTTTGCTTTTAAAAAACTGAAAACTTCTTTTCTTCTTTTATAATTCAGCTTTTCAAATTATTTGACTATGACTAACTCCTTTAATTTAGAATTGCCTGTGAGTTTTTGGCAATCATGATGCATACTTAGAAATCTTTGCAAAGCGAGAAAAACCTAACCTACAAATTGTTTTCAAATGAAATGAAATAGTTATGAGCTCTAAATTTAAAACATAATGGGGTAGATAGGATACTGCTTCCTAGCCATTTATCTAAATGTTTATTAATTTCTATTTTGAAGTTTTTGTGTTTCATATTTTAGAGCCAAAAGATCTTTTATTCAGCTCTCAAACATTCTCGTAGGCCCTGGGCTTTCTGCCTACAATGCCTAATGGATAAAATGGCCTTGCACACAAAACCCAGACTGAAAAACACTAATGAAATTAAGTTGTAGGTGTATGTAGTTTCCAGATAACTTCAAGGGCTCTTTTCCACCCTTTGCAGAATTCTTGTAGAGCTAAGGACAGAGCCACACACTCAAAGGGCACAACACATTGCTAGTTATGACGAACAGTAGAACCTCTGTAAGTTAATCACCCAAGGGACTGTAAGTAATAACTGGTCAAAATATAAGGGTGGTCAACTTAAGGAAGTAGGCCTTCTGTACTGAAACATACATGTGGTGCGTGTCCAGTCTATGAAAACTAGGTCAACTTAAAGAGGTGGTCAATGGAGAGAGGTGATCAACTCTGGAGCTTCTAGTGTATTTCTCTGTTTGGTGTGTAGTAAGAAATAGACAGGGCTAAGTAAACGGAGAAAGGAAAGAAACAAAGTGAGGAGAGCTCAGATTTTTAAGCCCCTGCTATGCTAAGCACTGTGCCATTTTACATTCACAACAGCCCTCTGAAGTAGTTATGATCCTTCCCATTTGGCAGATGAAGAAACCAAATCTTAGAGAAGGTCAGTAACTCTCAATGGATACACAGAACCCTGAGTCAGCCTAACCATGAAGCCCACTCCTTTCCCAGAATTCTCATGCCGCTCTATTTCTTAAGGGGTAAAGTTTATGAGTATCTTTCTTTCTCTAAATCTTGATGTAATAAGTGATGCATGTCATTAGTGTGGATCGGATGCCAGAGGTGGGTAGGGGCTGGAGTTTCCCGGAGAGCAAAGTTGAAGAGATAGAAGGCAAAATTCACTATCTTCCTTTCTTCCTTTTTTTTTTCCTTAAATGATTCATAAGTAGAAAAAAGTGTGGTGGATGAAATTTCTAATGTCCACAGACTATAGCAACATCAAGGGAATTTGGAACTACCGCACGTCCTGAATCACAATCATATTGGAACACATCCCAGCCCTTCACCTTCTCTTTACAGTGTTTTTCAGAGTGTAGGCCCAGACCACCTCCCCCAGAACTATGCAGGTAGCTAGATAAAATTCAGATTCCTGGGCCTCAGCCCAGACCTACTAGATTAAGATCTCTGAGGAAAAAGACCTGGGAATCTTTATTGTAACCCACTTTTTCTACTTCTCTAGGTGGTTCTATGTTCATCAAAATTTTAAAACTATACTTCGTCGTTCAGAACAAGATTCCACTGCCTCCTCCACATTTTCTTGTTTAATGGCTTTTAAGGACCATAGCGTAAGCTACTAGGAATATTTAGTTCTGAGCTCACCACCATTTTATAGATAGGAAATTAAAAGAGAAAATGAGCCAATTGCTTTATTTAGCAAGTTAGTAAAAAGTGCCAAAATGAGAACTCAAAAAAAAAAAAAAAAAAAAAAAAGATAAAGCCATGCCTTATTCCCACTGCACTGCGATTATTTCTTAAGGCCTTGGTTTAAGTCATTGCTGTGATTCCCACCCACTGAGAAGATCCCACACCCAGGGAGATGTTGACAGAGGTATTTAAAGCAGTTGCCCAGAAGGTTCAAATCACCTCTTTGCAGCTGAACCATCACAACTATGAAAGAAAACAAAGAAAGAAAGAAGGGAGAGCGGGAAGGAAGAAAGAAGAGAGCAGAGGAGAGACAGAGAAGAATAGGGAAGGGAGGGAAGGGAAAGAAGGAAGAGGCAAACTCACTCCAGTAGGGGTGCAAGCCAGGGGGTTGGGGAGAGTCAGAGAGGCACAGAGCCTAGAGACTCAGAGGCACTAAGATGCTTTCAAGGGGAGGTCAGGGTAGCAAATACTTCATATTTGGCAAGAAAGGAACCAGGACCCCTCTCCTGCCTTTCCCTTCCTGGCCAGACCACCTTAGACCCTCACTGCACTATGTTTCAGGCATGCCCTGCCCCCTAGCTCTGGCTGTCCCCCCTGGAAGGGCTGGCAGAGGTTCTCTTCAGAAATGGGTTTCCTCCCTCAGGACTCACTTACCTTTTGCTAAACATAAAACATTCTACTGAATGTAGAGTTAAAAAACGTAAAACACAACATGAGGTCTGAGTGCCTGAGGGTCACCTTAGCCCCTTCACGGCAACCCAGGGAAGGTGAGTCCAAGTCTCGAAAGGACAGAGCCCAGGAGAGAGTCTGCAGGGCACCCACTGTGAATGTGACGGGAAGGAGTCTGAAGTTTTAGACTTCTCAGACTTGGAACCAAAAAGGTTGAGTCTAAAAAGGAAAACATGTCACCTCCCTGCCAAAATCAACTATGATGAAAGTTTAGAGCCCACCACTCTCAGCCAAGCATTTCCTGTTCTGGCCTCCCGTCTGCCTCGCACTGGCTCAGATGAGGGAGAGCTATTTTTAAGGTGCAAACAACCGGGACTAAGGATGAGAGAAGTTTCTTATTTATAGTTATACCTTTCAACTGTGCTTTTTCCCCTCTGGAGATAGAGGCCAGGTTTAGTTTTCCTTTTGCAGCTAAAGCCTCTGGGCTTTGAAAGGATGATTCACTTCTAGCCAGGCATTGATTGTTGTCCTGGGCAACACAAGTCAGAAAGCCATTCACCACTTCTTGAGGAATTCTTCCTACTGGACATATACTTGGCCTATGCAACATACAAGCTCTTGAGAAGTGTTTTGTAAAATATATTTTTGTATAAAAGGTGATTTGAAAATGCAATAGTAGTTTTACTATTCAAAGGAATCCAACAATACATCTTTTTCCTTTTTGTTTTTTCAACAGTGGATTCTAATACCATACGAATAGAGAGTCCATGATTTTCATGGGTTTATAAATTGAGACTTTGTATTAGATTTGCTGGAGGCAGGGCAAATCTGTAGTTAGTGTTCTAAGAGTCCCCGGGCTCTTCCTGATGTCCAACTGCATCTTTCCTTCTGAAATTCAGGATATTTTCTTATGCACTGAAATCGATTCATTCTTAACAACAAACCTTGCAGCACCCATTGGAATTTGGCAGTAAATGAAGGAGAAAATCCCTCCCTTGTAATACTCACAGAAGCATCATCTTGGTTTTGGCTATTACCCCCTGTAAGTCCACTGACATCGTTTTCTTCACAGCATGAATCTCCTCCTGACATTGTCATGATAGCACATGTCTCGCCCACTGCAATGTAAGCATCACCTGGGCTTTGTTTGCTCTTTAATTCCTCACTGTATCGCAAGCCTCAAAACTGTGTTAGAACACTCAACATTCATTATTCAATTAATGAATTTCTCTTTATCTCAAGGTGCTATGGTATTTAACTTGATGCTTTCCTAAATTTGCAAGCTCCCTTATTTTCACCCACTTCCCCAGGCATTATTATAGGAATTATCTGAAGGACAAGAGGATGGCTTCCGTCCAAATTCACTAGTATCTATGTGTTCTAAACAAGTCAAGCTTTAAGCTGACAACTCTACAGAACAAGTCAGTGATCATGGCCTACGTCCAGCTTCCTTGCTCCCTCTATTCCTGGTGGGTCCTCTGTCCAGCCAGACCAATGACAGCATGATTCATTTTTTGGCCAAAGGAAGATCCTTGCTGTATCATTGTGCTTGTACAAGATATGGTACCTGTGACACTCAATGAAGACATAGAAAAGATGGGAAGCTATGTGAACACAGAATCTAGGTGTAGAAGGAGACAGATCAGAAAGGTGGAGAGAAGCAATGTAATGATCCATATGATCCAGAACCACACCAGAACTTAAAATGGCCGTGAATCAACAGTACTTAGCACATTGTGGTTCAAGAACGTTTTGTTAACTGATGAATAGCAAAATCATGCAAAAATGATGCCTAAGCTAGGATACTTATTATATTTACTTATAGGCAGTTTTAAGTTATTATCAAGTGCAATGGAAAAAAAACATATAAGATCAGTTAGTTACTTACTTACCTTTTTACTCAAGGTAGGCCCACTGGTCCCCCCAATGCTTCTCTGTACCGATGGTGGCACTTGATATACATCTTGTTCTTGGGTGCCATGGCCAGTGGGTACTTGGTAAATTCCCTGATTTTGGTAGGAAGGTGGCACTTGGTAGATGGTGTCTCGGGGAGCAGCCTGGGAGTTTGGCACTTGATAGAGCTTCTGTTGGCTAAAAGCCTGGTGCATCAGTCCAGAAGCAGGCTGGTCATGATTGGAGGAGGCCTCCTGCACAGGACCAATCAGAAGCTTCACCCGGTTGCCCGGGACGATGCCCTGCCGACCATGTAAGGAGCATAGCCACCAGCCTTCCAGACCCCCTGTGTTCTGCTCTATGACGGTCAGGATGTCTCCCTTGCGAAAGGCCAGTTCCTCAGCACACTCCGGGACATTGTCATATAAGGCCCTTGCCATAAGATTCTAAAAAAGAAGGAACAGAGGAAAATCATGTTAGAATACTAGATCAGCCCTTTTAGCACCTAAAGCCCATCCCCTTATGGACAGGCTCACTTCCTGGAAGGGCAGAAGAATAAATCTGAACAATAGCCTGTAAGGAGAAAAACAGATGGTGCAGACAAAAGACAGACACATACATACTGTGTCTGCCACCAATGACATCAGACTGCCTCCTTGGAAAAGCTCAAAACACCAGAAGAGTTCTTTCCTCTAGCAGGAGATGCTGTGCCAAGGAATTATGAGTAGCGCTTTTAAAGAGTTAGAGAATGGTTCACTACACAACACATTTTTCTTCCCTTTTTAAAGTAAGCTTAAGGAGGAAAAAATTATTCCAAGATATTCAGACATACTATAAGGGCTGTGTCTCAATTTTTTTCATGTGCTTGGAGGGAAAAAGAGTGAAAGAAAATCCCAAATAACACACAGTACAAATGGCATTTATATTCGGTGTTGAAATGTAAATTAAAGTACACTTATATGTGCCTTGGCAAGGCTTAAAAAGTCTTATTCTCAGGTGGTGAAGCGGTCCTTGGGTTCAAGGAGAATCTACAAGCCACAGTGATCGGCATGGAGTGCAGCGTGACAGTGGCTGACATCTCCATATTTGATGGTAGGGGCTACCAGGAATCTGTTAGCACATAGACAGATGCCAGTTCTTTCTCTCGTGGTTTTTTACTTATACCTTTCCTGCGGGCTTCTCTTCACCTGTTTCTTTATCATGTATTCTTGAATCTGGCTATTCATCTCCAAAAGGCCATGCCTTACCCTTTCATGGGCCCCAAACACTCTCTCTCTTTGTACGAAGGCCTGTCTGGCACATTGAGTACTAAGCAGACAGCCAAAGTAGGCATTCAGCGCAGAGTGGGCAGGCAGTAGGTGCTGACATTCCTGGAACCCTTTCAAAGGCTCAGAAGATTTCATTTCTTGGCGTTAGTAATATTTCCCAGCACGCAGACAGCCATTCCTGCATGCCTGCTCCCTTCCCCAGAGCACAGAGGAGCCAGGAACGCTGTAAATTCATTGTAAGCACTTGGAAAAGTCCAAGGGCTCTCTCCAGCCCTTCGTTAAAATGTTTGTATGCACTTAATGTCATTGAGGTGGGGCTCGTTTATGGGAGAAAGGGTTGCTGATTGGATGGAGTAGGTATTTCGCACCATAAGATATTTATAGGATTTGGGGGGTCTTGTTGTTTGGCCTTCTGTCACCTGTTTTCTTCTCTAGAAAATGTGGACTTGATCTTTTCAGCCTTGTGCATTTTTCATTTCTTTTTTTTTTTT